TTTTCGATTTTTCGATTTTGGCCTATTTCGGTTTCTCAATTGTTCGACTTTTCGTCTCCACGATTTCTTGATATTTTGATTTTTCGATTTCTCGGTTTTTCGTTATTTGGTTTTTAAATTTTGCATTTTTTCGATTTTCTGATGTTTCATTTTTCGATTTTCAGTTCTTCGATATTTCGATTTTCAATATTTCGGTTTTACGAATTTTTAAGGTTTCGATTTTTCGATTATTAGATTTCTGGATTTTTCGAATTTTCGATTATTTTAATTTTTCAGTTTTTTTTGCTCACTGTTAATATCATACAGTGTATCGAAAACAACCACAAAAATTGTCACTAAAAACATTTAAAGATTCATACAAAATAGAACACAGTGTTTCCAAAACATTTTCCGGAAAAATCCATTGGGTTATTACGATTTCAACAATATTCTTAGTTTAAGACGTTTTGCAAGTATAAAACACAAATAAAGAATTAATTCTTAGTTAAACAAAATATGTAAAATCATCTAAATATGTAACAAAATATTCACTTATTAGTCGTTATAAAAATCGACCAAACTATTTCCCGCAGAAATTATAGTCCAAACCAACCAAATCGCTTCTGAACGCTTAGAGTCGACATTGGCCTGAGCGCGCTCTGGTCTGTAGATCAACCAAGTTCTCAGCGCTTGCCTTTGGCGGTTGAGGACTCCAATGTCAATAAGGGTGGTTTTGCAAAATCAGCCTGTATGTCGCATCTATATTAATCTATGCATACAAATTCAATTATGATGGAAGGTATACGATACGGCATACTCCACCTATACTTATTCAATATCTTTGAATACGCTTTATACAAGGTGATTAGTTAATTATAGCATAAATAACAGCTGGTTGTTCTGTGAGTGTGCATACGCTATGTAACTGCGTTAAATATGTACTGGTATGTGTGATATGAGTGTTTTGTGTATGTAACTAATGCACAATCCAGTGCAACAGACGTAGATTATGGACCTTTACTCAGAATATTTTTGTGATTTTACATTTTATAAAAAATTAAGTTTTTATATATGCAACCAAAAATATAGGTAATAATGGAAAGTGAAAATACGAGATGAACGCATTATTATTTGTCGCGCAATGTTGCCAATGTGTTGTTAACCCCATAGATGTAGAATGACAGGAGGGTGCATACTTCGTCAAAGTCCCTACATTATTAGTAAGGTCTGTGTATGTCAACTCCCGCCCACCAGCATGTTAAAGACCCCTGTCCCTACTGTAACGTCATCAAATTTGCAGGTAATATGAAACACTAATTGCCTATAGTTTGATTTCTCGACTTTTTCTCGGTTTTTCGATTTTCCTTCCAATTTTTCGATGTTTTGATTTTTCAGCTATCCATTTTTTTAAATTCCTGGGTTTCGATTTCTTTAGTTTAGTTTTTAAATGTTAGATTTTCGAATATTTATTTTTTTAATTTTTTGATGTTTGATTTCTCGATTTTTCAATTTCGGGATATTTTGATTGTTCGATGCTTTAATAAACTTTCGATTTTTCGTTTTCTCGATTTTTTGATTTTTCAGCTTTTCAGTATTTTTATTTTTCATTTTTGCAATTTTTGCCGTTGTCATATTTTCAGTTCTCCGATGTCTCAGTTAATCTATTTTTGATTTTCACATTTTTTGACTTCACAAAGTTTCGATTTTTCGACTTTGCTTTTTTGGTTTTTCGATTTCTCAATTTCCCTATTTTCTAATTTCTTCATTTTTGGATATTTATTTCAGTTTTGGGATTCTGGTGTTCTGAGGATTTGAGAATTACGGTGTTCTGAGGATTTGAGGATTATGGCGTTCTGAGGATTTAAGGATCTGGGATTCTGAGGATTTGAGGATACTGGTGTTCTGGGGATTTGTGGATTATGGTGTTCTTAGGATATGAGAATACTGATATTCTGAGGATTTGGGAATTCTGGTCTTTTGATTCTGGTGTTTTGAGGATTTGAGGATTCTGGTGTTCTGACGATTTGAGAAATATGATGTTCCTAGGATATGAGAATTTTGATGTTCTTAGGATATGAGAATTCTGGTGTTCTGAGAATTTGAGGATTCTGGTGTCCTGAGGATTGGAGAATTCTGTGGTTTGAGAATTTGAGGATTATGATGTTCTTAGGATATGAAAATTACGGTGTTCTAAGGATTATGGTGTTCTGAAGATTTGAAGATTCTGCTCTTTTGAGGATTTAAGGATTCTGGTGTTTTGATGATTTGAGGATTCTGGTGTTTCTGAGGATTTGAGGATTCTGGTGTTTTGAGGATTTGAGGATTCTGGTGTTCTGACGATTTGAGGATTTTGATGTTCTTAGGATGTGAGGATTCTTGTGTTTTGAGGATTTGACGATTCTGGTGTTTTGAGGATTTGAGGATTCTAGTGTTTCGAAGATTTGCGGATTCTGGTGTTTGGAGGATTTGAAGATTCTGGTGTTCTGAGGATTTGAGGATTTTGGTGTTCTGAGGATTTGGCGATTCTAGTGTTTTGAGGATTTGAGAATACTGCTCTTTTGAGGATTTGAGGATACTGGTGTTCTGGGGGATTTGAGGATTATGGTGTTTTTAGGATATGAAAATTCTGGTGTTCTGAGGATTTGAGGATTACGGTGTTCTGAGGATTTGAAGATTCTGGTGTTTTGAGGATTTGAGGATTCCGGTGTTCTGAGGATTTGAGGATTCGGGTGTTCTGACGATTTGAGGATTATGATGTTCTTAGGATATGAGGATTCTGGTGTTCTGAGGATTTGAGGATTTTCATGTCCTTAGGATATGAGAATTCTGGTGTTCTGAAGATTTGAGGATTCTGGTGTTCTAAGGATTTGAGGATTATGGTGTTTTGAGGATTTAAGGATTCTGGTTTTTTGATGATTTGGGGATTCTGGTGTTTCTGAGGATTTGACGATTCTGGTGTTTTAAGGATTTGAGGATTCTGGTGTTCTGACGATTTGAGGATTTTGATGTTCTTAGGATATGAGGATTCTTGTATTTTGAGGATTTGACGATTCTGGTGTTTTGAGGATTTGAAGATTCTAGTGTTTCGAAGATTTGCGGATTCTGGTGTTTTGAGGATTTGAAGATTCTGGTGTTCTGAGGATTTGAGGATTTTGGTGTTCTGAGGATTTGGCGATTCTGTTGTTCTGAGGATTTGAGGATTATGGTGTTCTGAGGATTTGAGAATTATGGTGTTCTCAGGATTTGAGAATTCTGTTGTTCTGAGGATTTAAGAATTCTGTTGTTCTGAGGATTTGAGGATTCTGGTGTTTTGAAGATTTGAGGATTTTGCGATTTTTAAATGTTAGATTTTCGAATTTTAATTTTTTGATTTTTTGATGTTTGATTTCTCGATCTTTCAATTTTGGGATATTTTGATTGTTCGATGTTTTAATAAACTTTAGATTTTTTGTTTTTTCGATTTCTTGATTTATCTTGAGTATTTTTATTTTTCAAATTTTGATGTTGATAAATTGTCAGTTCTCCGATTTCTCAGTTAATCTATTTTTGATTTTCCCATTTTTTGACTTCACAAAGTTTCGATTTCTCAGTTCTTCAATTATTCGATTTTCCGACCTTGCTTTTTTGGTTTTTCGATTCCTCAATTTTCCAGTTTTCTAATTTCTCAAGTTTCGGATGTTTCTTTCAGTTTTGAGATGTTTAAATATTTCCATTCTTCGAATTTTCGATTTTTCGACTTCTGAATTTTTCTATTTTTCGATTTTTAATTTTTTGAATTTTTCAGTTTTTCGGTTTTTGGACCCCTGAATGTTTTTTATTTCTTTCAATTTTTCGACTGTTTTATATTTCGATTTCTCAATTTTTCAACTTTTCGATGTTTTAATTTTTAATTTTGTGAAAATCAAAAAACAAAAGCTGCGACTGATGCACAGCTCTTCTCTATTACGGACATGCCGCACGAGCAGGCCGTTACGGTCGCCAACTCGTGTTTGGGTCTCGACTATTGGATCAAGTCGACAGCGTAACGTCATCTCTATTTTTTTTCTCTATACAAAGTTGCACCAGCTCGACTTAAAACCGCGCCCTCCACTTCTGCCACGTATTTCGGTGTTATTTAAATATTTATAAATGTTCAATTTCGATGACTGATATTAAACTACAACTGAACAAGTGTCAAAGTTTCAAAAAGAGCAATAAACAACATTTGAATTCGCCATACACTCTTGTGAAATTTTAAACAACAAATAATTCTTATGTGAGATCAAGACTGGACATCAGAAAATTTGTGTGGTGGAAACATTCATCAACAAAATATTTACATGGAAAAAAAACTTGTACAGGCAAAAATTACGTGCGGATAGAAGCTAGAGAAAAATTTACGTTCAATTTAAATGATACAACAAAGAAAATTACTGAAGTTAAAACTGTGAGAAAAAAAAATGCATGAGGTGAAAAATTGCAAAATCTCTTAGCAAATTCTTTATCGGAAAAATCTCTGACGGTTAAGCTTGAGTTAGAACCAGTTAACGATTAAAATCCTAACATGAATTGTGAATTTACAAACAACGAATCAAATTTACACGTGTTACCATCGGTCGAAAATTCACTTATTTCCGCAAGAATTAGTTCTGCGCCTTGGGAAAATTGTGGCGTCGTCGTCGTTACGAATAATTAATGAAATTTTGATTCAAATTCGGTCAGTACAAGGTAGAGATTAATAAATTAATTAAGCACACTCGGTTTTTCCCAAAAGTCTGGATGCCTAGCGTAAACATTTACTAATTTGAAGAATATTCGTCAAAATTGTAAGATGACATCATCATTTTGAAGGAGGGATAAAGGGATACATTTTTATTAATGATTAATTACGCTTTCGATAACCTTAAAACGCTTGCAAGATTTTACAGCATTCGGTTTGGCAACCTCAAAGTTAAATTGCAAAATGTTGCTGTAGAATTTTGATTTTTTTCAAGAACTCTGGATATCCAGGGTAAAAATTATATACTACAAATTCATACAGCACAAATGCAGGAATGTCTTGTTCTATAAAATTTAAAAAAAAATTAATTTTGTAAATTTTGGAGATGACGTCATCATATTGTTGGCGGGGATGATTAGACAAATTTTGGTTAGCGTTTTCCCATATACTAGGTATATCGGATTTCTAATATTCATATAAAATTTGACAGCAATTGGTCTGGTAATTTCCGAGATTATCTAAACGGGGACGTATTAATTAATACGTTCATCTCGTATTATCACTCCACTGTATTGCTGGTTGCATACATTGAAATTTTCTTTTCTTTTATAAAAGTATTGTATGTACTTCCCATGCTCTGCGCTGTTTCCATAGAAAGTGTCATCGGATGTTCCGTTCTGCAAAATATATTTTATATTATATTATGTAGAATTTTCGCGGTAGGATCCATGTGAAAAGTGATCAGCTGCATCATATTGATATAAAGTACTTTATTGATCCATGACGTGTGAAGTGATAAACCTGCGCACTGAGTAGCATAAAACACAAAAACGGAAACGATAATACTGAAACCAAAAGTCATCATTTGTTTAAGAAGAATTAAACTAGAATTTTAAAATAAGAGTTCTTGTGTAACATATCATTAACGACGCCGTCATCGTTGGAATAATAATAATTATAGTCACTGCAGTGGTAAGCTTTAGCAAAGTATAATTTATGTGAAACATTATTTATAGATTTTTTTCTAGTTTATTTCGGTAACTTGGTAGAGGAATAAACTAGAAATGTCGCTCAATCAACAGAAAATCGTTCATCATTTAAAGGATTCAGTCTCAAAAATAACAAACAACAAAATCGTCCAAGACTTTTTTGAAAAACAATCTTTACAAATAGTTCAACGATTACCTGTGAGATTCATCAGCGATTTTTTAAAATATGTTGAACAATGCATCGATCGTTCAAAGAATAACGATGTACTATTACTCGAAAATTTGAAACATTTTAACACAAAGTTTAATATCAAAAGATCCATTGTAGTAGCACCAAAATGGAATCGCAAGAGCACGATAATTTCAAAGGTAAGCTTATACAAATTTAAAAAATCCGACATATCTTTATATAGTAAATCTGATGGTCTTCAGTGTAGTATTTCATCACAAACTCTTCATACAATTTTATCTATAGAAACTGCAGAAAACGAAGATGCGTTATTGAAGCGTATTGAAGCATTAATAGTACATCTTCAGCAATATCCAGAAAGCAGAAATTGTGCCATAAGAGTAACGAATTTTGATTTACTAATTTTGGAATTTGTGTAGTCTTAAACAATTTGTAGGCAGGTGCAATTCCGATGCTGCTCCGAATTAATAAAAAAATTACTAGCGACAACGTAAAAGGTGCAATCCGGGTTGCTTTGGCCAGTTTAGGGTATGCAAACCCTGTTGCTAGAAATGGTATTAGAATTCTGTCTATGGATGGTGGAGGAATTCGGGGACTTCTTATTTTAGAAATGTTAAAAAAGTTGGAAGAATTGACCCAAAAAAGAGTACATGAACTGTTTGATTTGTTTTGTGGAGTTAGTACTGGTGCCATCTTAGCGTTTAGTTTAGGTATGTTCAGTTTTAGTTTCAATTTTGTCCAGTCAGCCCGGGAATCGTCCTAAAACCAATTGTTAATAATACTGAATCCCACTTCTGACACCAGTGTTAGATGATCGGAAATTAAAATCGGTGTGGGTAAAGCTGTAATTTAACAACGAATAATTTCAACTCAACTGATACTCATTAATCAGTTCGGCTAGATAAGACTAGATTAGCCTGTTCCTGACGGTGTATAGGTATTTTTCAGCAAAACAAACTATGTAATAATTTATTTATGATTTGAAATACTTAACAAAGAAAATAAATTTAATGTTTATAAGTTATACAGAAAAAATGAATCTATTTTTAGGTATACATCATGCAAGTTTAGACGAAATAGCCAAACATTACAAAGACATCAGCTTTGCAGTTTTTAAACAATCTCGGTTATGGGGAACAGGAAATTTAGTATGGAATCAAGCATTTTATGACACATCTCTATGGGAAAAGAAGCTTAGAGAACATTTGGGAACTAGTACCCTAATAGATACGAATCGTAACTCGCACTGTCCAAAGGTAGTTCTCATAGAGTGTTTAATCCCAATTGAACGGTGTTTAATTTAAATTTTTTAAAACAATTTGACCCATCAGTTAAGATGAAACAACTTCTAAATACTCAGAAAGTAAATCTTATTTAATTTTTTTGACTCTTGTAGTTATGTGCTATATCAGCTGTGGTTAATCAGTCCCATCTGTCTGCGTTTGTATTTAGAAACTATTCGCCACCGTGGAAAGTCAAGCCACAATATTTTGGCAGCAGTGAACACGAAGTGTGGCAGGCGGCTAGAGCTTCAGCAGCAGCTCCAACAATTTTTGAAGAATATAAGTTAGGGAATTTTTTACACCAAGTAAGTGTATTTTTGGTAGGAGGTGATTGTGAAATGCTTGTAAAAAACAAAAACTAACGTTTTTAGGATGGAGGCATTTTAGTAAACAATCCAACTGCTGTAGCTCTACACGAAGCTAAATTAATTTGGCCCAATACTCCAATACAGTGCGTTGTTTCGTTCGGAACTGGAAGAACCGTACCTACCCCTACAGATAATGCCAAACGTACACCAGATGATTCAAGCAACACTTCTTGGGCGCATAAATTTTATAAAATTTTAGACAGTGCAACCGACACAGAAGGTAACAATTTTAGATTACAACTACTTAATTAATACTAAATGTTTTTGTTTAAGGAGTCCATGTAATGCTGAGTGATTTACTACCCCACAACGTTTATTACCGTTTCAATCCATATTTAACCGAGATGATTAGTATGACAGAAATTAATCCTCAAAAATTGGAGCAACTTCAAAGAGACACCATTATGTACCTGCGAAGAAATGAAGATAAATTCCAAGAAGCAGCTAAAGTTTTAATTGAAAAGAAGACGTGTGTTCAGAAATGTAAAGATTTTATCAATTTCAATCGAGAGATTTATAATATTTAAATCAATAAAGTTGAAATATAAAATTTAATGGCAATATCCTGGACCCTGCTTATAAAGCTTCCAGGATCGTATTCGTACTGTATAGCATCTACAGTTTTCCATATTGCAATATCGTGAGAGTGGCGTGCCTCCCGCCAGCTCGACTAGGAACCGCGCCCTCCCTTCTGCCACGTGTTTCTGTGTTATTTAATCTCAATTCCATTTATATGTTCAATCCTTATAACTCTGATATTAAACTACAATAACGACATTTAAATTCGCCATACAATCTTGTGATATTTTAAAGAACAAATAATTCTTAGGTGAGATTAAGATTGGACATCAGATAATTTATGATTGGAAACATTCATCAACAAAATATTTACAAAACAAAAACTAGCGAAGATTAACTGTCTAAGGGAAGAAATTATTTTAACCCCCCGCCAGTTCACGATATTATGAATTTTGTTAATTTAACTGCCGTAAATGAACTACTAGGCAATCTTGTGTGAAGAATTAAGGAGTGTGATACTGATAATGTAACACCTTAGTAACACGCAGAAACCTTATTCACAACTAGACAAACAAAATCAAACGAATCCTGACTCAGTGAATTTCATGAAATCTCCTAGTAAGTGTTTATCTGAGCAAATACCTGACTTAAATTGTGTTAGAACTAGTTAACGATTAAAATCCTAACCTGATCGGTGAATTTACAAACGATAAATTAAATTTACACGTGTTGGTGTCGTTCAAAAATTCGCCTGTTCAGATTAGAAAGCCACAAGAATTAGCTGTGTTGGGGAAATGTTTAATTGTCGTTAAACAAAAGCTTCCTCCCTTTTATTAACTACCAAACCAACTAATTTAACCTAGCTAACTTACAGCGTCTTTTCACCATGCCGCCCTCTCATAAGTTATAACCAACCCTCTAACTAAAATCTCAAGCAGACTGCACTCTACTCAAAAGCGCTAACGTGCACATTGTTGCCTACGTTTAACGATTTTTTTGACTGATTTTTTTCTTCAAAAATATAAAATTCAAAACGTTATCAATTCGAGAATACAAAGGGCGATTTATTATCAAAATTAAACTGAACTTTAAAAATAAAAACAAAAATACAAAAAATAAACACTTGATGAAATCATGCACATTTTTGGAGATATCAAAACTTACAAACACGCACTGAACTGGCAACTGGTTATGGAACTCTTTTTTATAAGTGAAGACCTCTCAAAAGAAGTTGTTTTTACAAAAGTTGTTTACTATTTGGGATGTCGTAATAGTATATTAAGTATTAAGAACGGTAAGGGGTGATTACTGGTCGAAGACAAAAGTTTGTCTGAGACAATTTTAGACATATTAAAGTTTCTTATTGTTGAAATAAGTCTACACATATTACGAAAAAAAGGTAAAAGGTAGGCCCGCCCACCCGCCAAGAGGGAGGAGCTTAACTGCAAAATCCTTATTTCTGTGCGAGATATTAAAAACAAATTTTTGAATATCGTGTTGTTTAAACAAGACCATGTATATTAATAAGAAAAAAATAAAGCCAAAGATTAGGCCCCACCCATACCCGCCCCGATCTCAATTCTCAATTGTGATGAATTTTTCATTGGTTGTCAGATTGAGGGGCAGGGCTTAATTGCAAGATCCATATTTGTCTACAAGAATTTACTATTTTAATTAAGTTTCTTGTTCTTTGAGCAAATTTGTATCATTTTAAAACATCACTTCTGTGAATAAATTTTAGAATATTAGTTGCTTTTGATTTTTTACAAAAAGTCAATATTTCCATATATGAAAAAATATACCTAGTGTTCCAGCCTAATTTTTAGAATAAAAATGTTACAGGGGTTGTATCAAATAAAAAAATACCCCGTATAATGTAATACTTTAAAAAATAACTCAAATTCAAATACCGACAAGCTGAGTATTTTATTAGCCTTCGATTTGTCTGTAATATTTTCATGAACAAAATGAGCTTGGACTATAAGATATAAATAACGTCTTTCCAAAAACAATTATTTTAGACATTTTCAGTTTCTTGTTGCCGAAATAAGTCTACACATATTAAGAAAAAAAAAGCCAAATTGTGGCCCCGCCCACCCGCCCCCTCTCAATTGTGTTGATTTTTTTATTCGTCGTGAGTCGAGAGGGCGGATCTTAACTGCAAAATCCTTATTTCTCTGCGACAAATTAAAAACAAGTTTTTAAGTATCGTGTTGTTTAAAGAAGACCATGTATATTAAGAAAAAATTAAGCCAAAGATTAGGCCCCACCCATACCCGCCCCGATTTCAATTCTCAGTTGTGGTGAATTTTTCATTCGTTGTCAGATTGACGGGCAGGGCTTAATTGCAAGATCCATATTTGTCAACAAGAATTTACTATTTTAAACATGTTTTAAGTTTCTTGTTCTGAAAAGACGACTACGTATATTAAGAAAAAAAGCAAAAGTAAGCCCCGCCCAACCACCCTGTCTCGATTGTGATGATTTTTTTTTTAACCGTCGAGAGCCAAAGGAGCGGAATTTAACTGCAAAATCCTTATTATTTCTCTACAAGAAATTACCATGTAAGACATGAGTATCGTGTTATTCATAGAATATTGTGTATATTAAGAAAAAATTAAGCCCCATCCATACCTGTCCTGATCTAAATAGTAATGAAGTTTTCATTTGTTGTCAGACTTAGGGGCGGAGCCTAATTGTAAAATCCATTATTTCTTTACAAACAAATTCTATTTTAGACGTGTTTTAAGTGTCTAAGAATATATTTTTTTTTAATTTCTTGTAAAGAAATAAGTATTTTGCAGTTAAGCTCCATCCCTTTGTTTCACGACGAATAAAAAATCCATCACAATTGAGATAGAGTTGGTGGGGGGGCTTCCATTTTGCCTTTTAGATTTAATATAATGTGTAGAAAATTTACCATTTTAGATACGTTTTAAGTTTCTTGTTACCGAAATAAGTCTCCACATATTAAGAAAAAAAAAAAATGCAAAATGTAGCCCCGCCCACCCGCCCTATCTCAATTGTGATGATTTTTTTACTTCTCTGCGAGAAATTAAAAACAAGTGTTTGAGTATAAGTTGTTTAAAGAAGACCAAAGATTAGACCCTACCCATATCCGCCCCGATCTCCATTCTCAGTTATGATGAATTTTTCATTGGTTGTCAGATCGAGGGGCAGGGCTTAATTGCAAGATCCATATTTGTCTACAAGAATTTACTATTTTAATTAGGTTTCTTGTTCTTTAAGCAAATTTGTATCATTTTAAAACACCACTTTTGTGAATAAATTTTAGAATATTAGTTGCTTTTGATTTTTTACAAAAAGTCAATATTTCCATATATGAAAAAATATAGCTAGTGTTCCATAAAAAAAATAAAGTTGACGTCATTTCCGGTTCAACCGGAAGTGATAATAATAATGAGGTTGCCATCTAATCAATTTTTTAAATTGATACAAATTTGTTCAAAGAACTACAGATTTATTTTTCAGAATAAAAAAGTTACAGGGGTTGGATATAATGTAATACTTTAAAAAATAACTCAAATTAAAATACCGACAAGCTGAGTATATTTTTAGCCTTCGATTTGTCTGTCATATTTTCATGAACAAAATGAGCTTGGACTATAACATATAAATATCGTCTTTCCAAAAACAATTCTTTCAGACATTTTAAGTTTCTTGTTGTCGAAATTAGTCTACACATCTTAAGAAACAAAGGTAAAATATAACCCCGCCCACCCGCCCTCTCTCAATTGTGATGATTTGTTTATTCGTCGTGAGCCAAGAGGGTGGAGCTTAACTGCAAAACCCTTCTTTCTCTGCGAGAAATTAAAAACAAGTTTTTGAGTATCGTGTTATTTAAAAAAGACCATGCATATTAAGAAAAAAATAAAGCTGAAGATTAGGCCCCACTCATACCCACCTCGATCTCAATTCTCAATTGTGACGAATTTTTCATTCCTTGTCAGATCGGGGGCAGGGCTTAATTGCAAGATCCAAATTTATTTACAAGAATTTACCATTTTAAACACGTTTTAAGTTTCTTGTTCTGAAAAGACGACTACGTATATTAAGAAAACAGGCAAAATATAAGCCCCGCCCACCCGCCCTATCTCAATTGTAATTATTTTTTTTTAACCGTCGAAACCCAAAAAAGCGGAATTTAATTGCAAAATCCTTATTGCTTCTCTATAAGAAATTACCATTTAAGACATGTTTTAAAGTATCGTGTTATTCAAAGAATCCTACATATGTATATTAAAAAAAAAAAATTAAAGCCAAAGATTAAGCCCCACCCATACCTGCTATGATCTAAATAGTAATGAAGTTTTCATTTGTTGACAGACCTAAGGGCGGAGCCGAATTGCAAAATCTACATTTCCTTACAAACATTTTCCATTAAACGTGTTTTAAGGATTATAATAAGTTAATATTTTACCTTTTTTTATTAATATACATATATTCTTTGAATAACACGATACTCAAAAACATGTTTTTGTTGTTGTTGTGAAGAAATAAGTATTTTGCAGTTAAGCTCCGCCCTCTTGGTTCAAGGCGAATAAAAAAAATCATCACAAATTCGATAGGGCGGGTGGGCGGGTTTCCATTTTGCCTTTTTTTTTAATATGTGCAGACTTCTTTTCACAACATGAAACTTAAAATATGTTTAAAATGGAAAATGTGTATAAAAAAATATCGAGTTTACAATTACTTTTCGCCCCATAAATGCAAAATCCATATTTCCTTGCAAAAATGTTCCAATGTACCTGTTTTAAGTTTCTTGTTCCCGAAATACGTCTACACATATTAAGAAACAAAGGTAAAATGTAGTCCCGCCCACCCGCCCTCTCTCAATTGTGATGATTTTTTTATTCGTTGTGAGTAAAGGGGGTGGAGCTTAACTGCAAAACTTTATCAAACGTATTTTAATTTTAGTTCTTTGTTTCGAGAAGACAAACTCATTCAAATCAACAGAGAAATATGTATTTTGCAATTACGCTCCGTCACTCGCTCTAACAATGAATAAAAAAAACATCACAATTAACGTCGGGGTGGGTGGGTGGGGCATAATCTTTTTTTTTTTCTAAATAAATTTTCAGTTTCTTGTTGCCAAAAGAAGACTTCGTATATTAAGAAAAAATAGACAAAATATAAGCCTCGCCCACCCACCCTTTCTCTATTGTGATGAATGTTTTATTCATCGTGAGCTGAAAGGCGGAGTTTAGTTGCAAAATCTTCATTTCTCTACAAGAAATTACTATATGAAATTCATCACAATTGAGATTCGGGTGGGTGGGTGGGTTTAATCGTTTTTTTAACGTATAGAATTTTCTCTCAACAATACGATAGTTAAATACCTTTTCAGTTTCTTGTTGCCAAAAGAACACTTCGTATATTAAGAAAAAATGGTCAAAATATAAGCCCCACCCACCCACCCTATCTCAATTGTAATGATTTTTTTATTCGTCGTGAGTCAAGAGGGCGGAGCTTAACTGCAAAATCCTTATTTCTCTGCGACAAATCGAAACCAAGTTTTTGAGTATCGTGTTGTTTAAAGAAGACCATGTATGTTAAGAAAAAAATAAAGCCATAGATTAGGCCCCGCCCATACCCGCCCCGATCTCAATTCTCAGTTGTGGTGAATTTTTCATTGGTTGTCAGATCGAGGGGCAGGGCTTAATTGCAAGATCCATATTTGTCTACAAGAATTTACTATTTTAAACATGTTTTAAGTTTCTTGTTCTGAAAAGACGACTACGTATATTAAGAGAAAAGGCAAAAGTAAGCCCCGCCCACCCACCCTGTCTCGATTGTGATGATTTTTTTTTAACCGTCGAGAGCCAAAGGAGCGGAATTTAACTGCAAAATCCTTATTATTTCTTTACAAGAAATCACCATGTAAGACATGTTTTTGAGTATCGTGTTATTCATATGTATGTTAAGAAAAAACTAAGCCCCACCCATACCTGTCCTGATCTAAATAGTAATGAAGTTTTCATTTGTTGACAGACCTAGAGGCGGAGCCTAATTGTAAAATCCATTATTTCTTTACAAAAAAAAATCTATTTTAGACGTGTTTTAAGTGTCTAAGAATAAAAAAAGTCATCACACTTTTTTCTTAATATACATAGTATTCTTTGAATAACACGATACTCAAAATAAGTTTTTAATTTCTTGTAAAGAAATAAGTATTTTGCAGTTGAGCTCCACCCCTAATAATGATTATTGGTTCTCGACGATTAAAAAAAAATCATTAGAATTGAGACAGGGTGGGTGGGCGGGGCTACATTTTGCCTTTTTTTTCTTAATATGTGTAGACTTATTTCGACAACAAGAAACTTAGAACATGTCTAAAATTGGACAAAGACATCGTGTCCAGTCAAATGGCGCCAATATTTAACTGTGAAATTATAAACCTTGATTAGCATGGTCTGAAATCATAAAATCCAGGATTCACAAGGACAACCTTGATATCACTCCAAAAATAAGTAATTTGTCGCCCATAACTAAGCATGAAGTATAATCTAGTAATACAATGTCATTGAGTAAAACAGTCAGTTCTGCCATCTACATTTTATTCAAGACGTCAAGAACAAGTCAAATGTCAAAATAGCCAAATGCCAAATATTTGGAGTGTAACGAGTTTGTAAATAAATAAACACAAAACACACGCGATACTTTGTACAAGAATTCGCCAAGTGTTGTACAACTTATACGTTATTTTATTGTAGCGTAAAAAGTACATTTAATAAAAATATACATTAAGGCCCGGATTAGATACAAAGAAGAGACGACTTAGTGCCTTAGTAAGATTATTTTACAAAAAATGGATCCAGTTTCATTACAGAAACAGTTAAGGGACAATGCTGCCGACCTGAACGACTTTTATAAAGAGTTAAAATCATGGGGCGAAGATATGAAGAGAAAAAACGAGTTTAATGAAACCCCGACTGAAAAAAAAGTAAGTATGGAAAAACAAACAAAAACAGCTCATACTAATTTATAACTTGCTGTTTCTAGAGTAGTTCAGAGAGTAGACGCAGTAATTTAACAAAAAAGAAAAATGCTACTGAAGTAAAATCAAAGCTGAAAAGTAAGGTGGGTTTTACAGATTATTCTGCTTGGGAAAAATTTGATGCTGATGCGGAATGTGAGAAAGTTGATTACAATGAAAATGATGAATCCGATTTAACTGATGAGTGTGATGAAACTGCTAGAGATGAGGCTTATTTACAAAAGGAGAAGGTAAAAACTTGTCTTGATTGTTGGTGAAATTACAATATAACTGTTAATAGGGTAATGTATTTGTAAAAGAGAAAAAATGGGATGAAGCTATTAATTGCTACAGTAGGGCGATTGCTGTTTACTCGTATGATCCTGTTTTTTATGCAAATCGAGCACTATGTTATCTGAAAAAGGAAGAGTAAGAAATTTTGCAACATCTATTCATTAAACTTTTATTATTATAATTTTTTTTACAGTTATGTGAAAGCTGAATTAGATTGTACAATGTCCATAAAACTTGATGGAACCTATGTGAAAGCATTCCAAAGGCGAGCAGCAGCAAAAGAAGCCCTAGGTCAACTGACAGAAGCTGAATCAGATCTATTGAGAGTTTTAGAACTAGAACCAAAAAATAAAGAAAGTAAAAGTAACCTTGATGCGTTGAAGCAAAAACTTCAAAAAGAGGTAGCAACATCTTTAATCCAACATGGTTTACAATTCTTAACAAATTTAATTTTAGTCAGTTGCTGTCACAACACAACGTCCTGTATCCAAATTTACAGCTTCCAGAAGCAAAAAATTGTATAGTGACAATAAAAACAAGTATGTCAGTACTTCTGCAAATAGTGTCAAAGCTCCAGTAGATATTATATTGGTAAACGCAGTTACAAAACCTGCACATTTACAATCCAAGAAACCCTTGCAACGAGTTGAAATTCAAGAAACTATGGGGATTGAAGACAATACAGTAAAAGATCAGGGACAGGTCTTCCCAAAACCATGTGATGCAGTTAAAACTCTAAACACTGATGATTTAAAAGTTGTCGAAAGACAGTCACAGGATCCAAGTGTTAATGAAATTATAAAGGAGAATAAAAACCATACGAACAATATTAAAATGGCCAAAAGTGAAATGGAATTAGTTGCACCAGTGAACTGTGTTCAATTCTGTTCACAGTGGCGACATCTGAAAACGTTAGAAAAGAAGTATTTTTACCTTAAGTTGATCAAGGCGGAAAATTTGCCTACGATTTTCAAAGAGTCTTTGGAAAGTATGGTTTTTAGTGAGATATTAGAAGTTCTGGTCAAAAGTTTTGTAAAAAATGGTGATGATGTTTACAATTTTTTAAAATTTCTTTCTGAGATGAAGAGATTTTCTACTTTAACAATGTTTATGGATGAGAGGGATAAGAATTGTGAGTATATTGCGTAATTCTTGTTTATTTTTGTTTAGAATTAAATTTATTAACAATAGCGAACTGTTTAAAAATTTGCGATGCAGATGTACTCCATAATAATGTAATTAGGAATTACATAGTATGATTTAAATTAATAATTGTTAATTTTATTTGTTGCAGATTTGTGGGAGCTGTTTGAGTATTTGCGCAATTACAAGAAATATTCCAACGAACAGATAGAATTTTTAGTGAAAAAGTATGAAATGTAAACAATAAATATCTATATGTAATTAATTGTTTTATTAATTAAAAAATTGGTTGAAATTTTTTCGATACAACTTTCCTCGCCCCTGAAGTACAATCAAACATACTCAGCTTTTTCGAAACATCATTTTTGCGAATTTTATTTCTTTTTTTTTCTGAAAACCTCAGTATTTTGCTCCGTGACAATCAACATGCTATATTTTTTGAATCAGCATGTCGAGATCTACTTTCCTGAATTTTTTCGCAATTTTTAGACCACTTTTTTAAAAGTGAAATTTTTTCATTGGTCCCCCCTTTTTCAAATTTCGGCCAATTTTTGACATTTTCGAAATTTAACTAAATACATTTTCTTGTAGATTTCCAGTGCTAGAACTCACTTCCGGCATCATTTCTTTGATAACTGCAACCGTTTTTGCGGAGTTGACGGTTTAAATACCGAAATTTTTAGAAATTTTCAAAAATTCGCGTTTCATACCGATTCTTTCGAAAATGTTGCTCCGTGACCATCAACATGCTATATTTTTGGAATCAGCATGTCGAGATTTACGTCTCTGAATTTTTTCGCAATTTTTAGACCACTTTTTTTAAAAGTGAAATTTTTCAATTGTCTCCCCCTTCTTCAAATTTCGACCAATTTTTGACACTTTCGAAACTTAACTAAATACATTTTCTTCTAGATTTCGAGTGCAAGAACTCACTTCCGGCATAATTTCTTTGATAACTGCCACCGTTTTTGCGCAATCAACGGTTAAAATATCGATATTTTTAGAAAATTTCAAAAAATCACATTTCATACCGATTCTTTCGAAAATGTTGCTCCGTGACCATCAACATGCTATATTTTTGAAATCAGCATGTCGATATCTACTTCCCTGAATTTTTTCGCAATTTTTAGACCACTTTTTTAAAAGTGAAATTTTTTCAATGGTTCCCCACTCTTCAAATTTCGGCCAATTTTTGACATTTTCGAAAATTAACTAAATCCATTTTCTTGTAGATTTCGAGTGCTAGAACTCACTTCCGGCATTATTTCTTTGCTAACTGCCACCGTTTCTGCGGAATCTACAATTTAAATATCGAAATTTTTAGAAAATTTCAAAAATTCGCATCCCCGTTCTTCAAATTTCGGCCAATTTTTGACATTTTCGAAACTTAACTAAACACATTTTCTTGTAGATTTCGAGTGCTAGAACTCACTTCAGGCATTATTTCTTTGCTAACTGCCACCGTTTCTGCGGAATCTACAATTTAAATATCGAAATTTTTAGAAAATTTCAAAAATTCGCATTTCATACCGATTCTTTCGAAAATGTTGTTCAGTGACCATCAACATGCTATATTTTTGGAATCAGCATGTCGAGATCAACGTTCCTGATTTTTTTCGCAATTCTTAGACCACTTTTTTAAAAGTGAAATTTTTTCAATGGTCCCCCGTTCTTCAAATTTCGGCCAATTTTTGACATTTTCGAAACTTAACTAAACACATTTTCTTGTAGATTTCAAGTGCTAGAACTCACTTCCGGCATCATTTCTTTGAAAACTGCTACCGTTTCTGCGGAATCTACAATTTAAATATCGAAATTTTTAGAAAATTTCAAAAATTCACATTTCGTACCGATTCTTTCGAAAATGTTGCTCTGTGACCATCAACATGCTATATTTTTGGAATCAGCATGTCGAGATCAACGTTCCTGATTTTTTTCGCAATTCTTAGACCACTTTTTTAAAAGTGAAATTTTTTCAATGGTCCCCCCTTCTTCAAATTTCGCCCAACTTTTGACATTTTCGAAACTTAACTAAATACATTTTCTTGTAGATTTCGAGTGCTAGAACTCACTTCCGGCATCATTTCTTTGATAACTGCAACCGTTTTTACGTAATCGACGGTTTAAATATCGAAATTTTTAGAAATTTTCAAAAATTCGCATTTCATACCGATTCTTTCGAAAATGTTGCTCCGTGACAACCAACATGCTATATTTTTGGAATGAGCATGTCGAGATCTACTTCCCTGAATTTTTTCGCAATTTTTACACCACTTTTTTAAAAGTGAATTTTTTTCAATGGTCCCCCCTTCTTCAAATTTCGGCCAATTTTTGACATTTTCTAAACTTAACTAAATACATTTTCTTGAAGATTTCGAGTGCTAGAACTCACTTCCGGCATCATTTCTTTAATAACTGCAATCGTTTTTGCGGAATCGACTGTTTAATTATCGAAATTTTTAGAAATTTTCAAAAATTTGCATTTCATACCGATTCTTTCGAAAATGTTGTTCAGTTAGCATCAACATGCAACATTTTTGGAATCAGCATGTCGAGATCAACTTCCCTGAATTTCTTCGAAATTTTTAGACCACTTTTTTAAATGTGAAATTTTTTCAATGGTCCCCCCTTCTTCAAATTTCGCCCAATTTTTGACATTTTCGAAACTTAGCTAAATACATTTTCTTGTAGATTTCGAGTGCTAGAACTCACTTCCGGCATCATTTCTTTGATAACTGCAACCGTTTTTGCGGAATCGACGGTTTAAATATCGAAATTTTTAGAAATTTGCAAAAATTTTCATTTCATACCGATTCTTTCGAAAATGTTCCTCCGTGACCATCAACATGCTATATATTTGGAATGAGCATGTCGAGATCTACTTCCCTGAATTTTTTCGCAATTTTTAGACCACTTTTTTAAAAGTGAAATTTTTTCAATGGTCCCCCTTCTTCAAATTTCGGCCAATTTTTGACATTTTCGAAACTTAACTAAATACATTTTCTTGTAGATTTCGAGTGCTAGAACTCATTCCGGCATCATTTCTTTGATAACTGCAACCGTTTTTGCGGAATCGACGGTTTAAATATCGAAATTTTTAGAAATTTGCAAAAATTTTCATTTCATACCGATTCTTTCGAAAATGTTCCTCCGTGACCATCAACATGCTATATATTTGGAATGAGCATGTCGAGATCTACTTCCCTGAATTTTTTCGCAATTTTTAGACCACTTTTTTAAAAGTGAAATTTTTTCAATGGTCCCCATTCTTCAAATTTCGGCCATTTTTGAGATTTTCGAAACTTAACTAAATACATTTTCTTGTAGATTTCGAGTGTTAGAACTCACTTTCGGCATTATTTCTTTGATAACTGCAACCGTTTTTGCGGAATCGACGGATAAAATATGGAAATTTTTAGAAAATTTCAAAAATTCACATTTCATACCGATTATTTCGAAAATGTTGCTCCGTACCATCAACATGCTATATTTTTGGAATGAGCATGTCGAGATCTAATTCCCTGAATATTTTCGCAATTTTTAGACCACTTTTGTAAAACTGAAATTTTTTCACTGGGCCCCCATTCTTCAAATTTCAGCCAATTTTTGACATTTTCGAAACTTACCTAAATACATTTTCTTGTAGATTTCGAGTGCTAGAACTCACTTTCGGCATTATTTCTTTGATAACTGCAACCGTTTTTGCGAAATCGACGGTTTAATATCGAAATTTTTAGAAATTTTCAAAAATTCCCGTTTCATACCGATTCTGTCGAAAATGTTGCTCCGTGACCATGAACATGTTATATTTTTGGAATCAGCATGTCGAGATCTACTTCCCTGAATTTTTTCGCAATTTTTAGACCACTTTTTTAAAAGTGCAATTTTTTCAATGGTCCCCCTTCTTCAAATTTCGGCCAATTTTTGACATTTTCAAAACTTAACGAAACACATTTTCTTGTACATTTCGAGTGCTAGAACTCACTTCCGGCATCATTTCTTTGATAACTGCAACCGTTTTTGCGGAATCGACGGTTTAAATATCGAAATTTTTAGAAATTCTCAAAAATTCGCATTTCATACCGATTCTGTCTAAAATGTTGCTTCGTAACCATCAACATGCTATATTTTTGGAATCAGCACGTCGAGATCTACTTCCCTGAATTTTTTCGCAATTTTTAGACCACTTTTGTAAAGGTGAAATTTTTTCATTGGTCCCCCCTTCTTCAAATTTCGCCCAAATTTTGACATTTTCGAAACTTAACTAAATACATTTTCTTGTAGATTTCGTGTGCTACAACTCACTTCCGGCATCATTTCTTTGATAACTGCAACCGTTTTTGCGGAATCGACGGTTTAAATATCGAAATTTTTAGAAATTTTCAAAAATTCGCACTTCATACCGATTCTTTCGAAAATGTTGCTCCGTGACCATCAACATGCTACATTTTTGGAATCAGCATGTCGAGATCTTCTTCCCTGAATTTATTCGCAATTTCTAGACCACTTTTTTAAAAGTGAAATTTTTTCAATGATCCCCACTTCTTCAAATTTCGGCCAATTTTTGACATTTTCGAAACTTAACTAAATACATTTTCTTGTAGATTTGGAGTGCTAGAACTCACTTCCGGCATCATTTCTTTGATAACTGCAACCTTTTTTGCGGAATCGACGGTTTAAAAATCGAAATTTTTACAAAATTTTCAAAAATTCGCATTTCATACCGATTCTTTCGAAAATGTTGCTCCGTGACCATCAACATGCTATATTTTTGGAATCAGCATGTCGAGATCTACTTCCCTGAATTTTTTCGCAATTTTTAGACTACTTTTTTAAAAGTGAAATTTTTTCAATGGTCTCCCTTCTTCAAATTTCGCCCAATTTTTGACATTTTCGAAACTTAGCTAAATACATTTTCTTGTAGATTTCGAGTGCTAGAAACTCACTTCCGGCATCATTTCTTTGATAACTGCAACCGTTTTTGCGGAATCGACGGTTTAAATATCGAAATTTTTAGAACTTTTCAAAAATTTTCATTTCATACCGATTCTTTCGAAAATGTTCCTATGTGACCATCAACATGCTATATCTTTGGAATGAGCATGTCGAGATCGACTTCCCTGAATTTTTTCGCAATTTTTAGACCACTTTTTTAAAAGTGAAATTTTATCAATGGTCCCCCCTTCTTCAAATTTCGCCCAATTTTTGACATTTTCGAAACTTAAACTCACTTCCGGCATCATTTCTTTGATAACTGCAAC